GGGAAAAGAAAGGCAGAGATGAAGGGAGAGAGTGTCATAAGAAGTGGCAGAGACAGAAACACAGAGAGACAGGCAGAAGAGATAAAGAAACAGAGATACAGAGGCACAGGGAGAAAAACAGAGAAAAAAGAAACTCAGAGATAGAGACAGAGGGGGAAAAGCAGGAGACAGGCGCCCAGAGACAGAAGAGGAGCCAGAGCCAGAGCCAGAGTGATGATTCACAGATGGGGAGAGAGGAGCAGGAGGGGTCAGGTCAGCACCAGCTCCAGGATGGTATCCCCAGTCCCAGCCCCCAGACCCGAGTTCAGGCATCCATGCTGCCAGCCCCAGTCTGCAGCCTGAAACCTCATTCCCCCAGAACCATATGCCCTGGGGGAGTCTCTTACCGGGAGGCCGGGGTCCCCAGGGAATCCTGGGGGTCCAGGAGGGCCTGAGGGGCCAACCACCCCCTGTTGAGGACAGAGGAACAGAGGTCATGAGAAGTGCAAAGTTTGAACCAGGCTGACTTCTGACCCACCACTGACCCTGAGCCCATGCCGACCTCTCCACCCCACCACTGAGCCACGCCTGGCCCCCTAATACTCCACTGACCCACATCAATCCCCTTTACACCCAACCCCTATGTCGACATCCTTTGAGCCTCACATGTCCAATAGTCTTCAAATGGCCTGACAATACCACATGCCAGCTCCTCACCCCCAGGGCTCAGACACCCCAACTGCAAGAGAAAGGGGGGAAGACCGCAATGCAGCCCTGACTCACGCGAGGTCCTGCGGCTCCTGGAGGTCCTTCAAACCGCTGTCCCTGAAGGAGAAATGAGTGTCACCCCCATTCTAGCCCCGATCCCACCACTTCCTCCCAGCGCCAGGCCCCTCACCTGTTCAATCACCGCAGGCTCTCCTTTTGCTCCCTTCTCTCCAGCGCCCTGGGACAGGGGGTGGAGAGAAAGGACCTGTGAGCCCTGGAACTCAGACAAAGAACTCCCAGCNCCCCGGCTGTGCCACCCTAGCTCCTTACCGGCATCATGATCACAGTTCCCGGTAGACCCCGGATTCCGTCAGAGCCGGGGATTCCTGGGAGGCCAGCAGGGCCCTAAGAGAGGCCGAAGGGGACAGAGAGAGACAGGGGTGAGAGAGAGAGATGGATGGAGAGGGGTGGAGGCAGAGAAATGGAGACAGGGAGGCAGGGAGAGACAAATAGAGGAGAGAGAGACAGAGAGACAG